CTCCCCCCGCCACGACCGCCGCCCTCGCCGGCGGGGCCGCCCCCTCCCCAAAGCTTTCCCCGCCGGCTGGGAAACAGCCGCCCCAGGAGCAAGATTCCGCCTGAGGCCGCTTCCCGCCCGGCGGCGGGAGCCCCTGGCCCGGGCGGCTGATGCCGTGCGGCCGGCCCCGCAGGGGCAGCACTCCCCGCCTTAAAATCCGGCTGAAAAACGCGAACCGTTTCACTCAAACCCGTGCAATGGTTGAGCGCAGCGGAGTTGAACAGATCTGCACGCACACACGCCTCCCCCCAGCAAGCGAGGTGGTGCACCCTCCTGCGCCCTGCTGTCCTCACAAAATGGAGATGGGTAGCGTTCACGCACCCCTAAAAATACTTGAAACTCTTTACAGGCAAAAATACAAATTAGCAGCCTGCGAGTCTGTGCGAAATAGAAGAATCAATTACCAGGTACGGGAGAAAAGGAACTGGTAAACTTGAAGATTAATGGGGTTAACGCTGCGAAAACTTGTAGATGGTGGAAGTGTTACAGGTGAGAAGTATTGGGGTGATGAGAAAGCCGAGGAACGGCAAAAAGAGATGGCAGAGTTACCTTCCGTGGCTCCGCCGGAGGCTGGGCTTGACGGTCTGTGTTGACTGAGGCATGGCTGGGCGTGACGCTGTGATGCCGTAACGGCAGGTGGCATGTGCTGTCTGCACTGGTAGCAAAGCAGCCTCTTGCCCGCGCGCAGCTCGCTTGCTTCAGCTAGTCACATTTGAAAGCCCACAGCCAAAGCTCTCCTCCGCTTCAAAGTGCTTTTTTTTTGTTTGTTTGTTTGTTTTTTTTTTTTTTAGTTTTCAATTTCTTAAAGCCAAAGCCTAAAAACCCAAAAAGTTCCTTCACCGCGGCTTATTAAGGCATTTGATTAACACCGTTCAGCTCGGTTCCACCCTATTTTCTGACAGCAGTGCCCAGCTTTCTCTGCAACGCTGCGGATTTAATGAGACCACCTCACGAGAGGAGTCAGCTGACGCGTGAAAACCAGGCAGCCAGGGACGAAAAGGCTGCTAATGGTGCCGAAGGACACTATTGCAGAACGGTAGCCCCGAGTTCCAGTTGCAAAACTGTGTCAAAAACGTGTCATTCTCAAATTTTAATTTCTTAACTGGAGTTTTCAAGACTACTCGTGATGCCATTTTTACAGACTTCTGAAGACTTGAAGTACTTGTTGGCATAAGCTTCCCAAACACGGGTCTTAAAAGCTTTTCTTTGTTTCTCTGGTCAGTCACTTCTGTTGTTTGAGGGTACAGTCAGGAGTCACAGGTTTTGCATGCCTGTAGGATGGATTTGAACATTCTCTTCTGTTCATTAAATGTCAGTGTTGTCTTGATATTCTAGTATAGTTTAGGAAGAATTTTGGTAAGGATGGCCACTTTTACAGACGAAACATAAACCCTCTGTTTTTACTCCATATCTGGCAGTACTTTTGGCAAGAGTAGTTGTGTTGACCGCACTGACTTCGCTAACTTTCAATTCGCATATGAACATTGTGTCCTTCTGAACTGTCCGTGTAATATTCCCTAGACATCACTTCTCGCTTTGTCATTTTTTTTGCATTACTATATTGCAGTGCCCCTAGAAAGGCTTAACAAACATTTGGAGGCTCATACTCGTAGCGGTAAGGAAGATGGAGGATAGGATCAGAGGGAACAGGAAGGGAGAAGAAAGAATGTAACTACAGTCTCACCTGAAAACTGAAGTTTGGTTGAGTTCGAGAAGCTCTGCAATGCTTCTAGCTCTTTGCCTTTCACCCTTCACTACCGCCGGTCAGTCAGCAAGGTATTTTAACACGCTGATACTTAGGGTTCAGTAACCCTGAAGGTCAAAGATTTTGTGTTTTAAAAGAACCGGGTGATATTCTGCTCCCTAAACCCCAGTAACTATGTGGGAAATCCAGCTTGGAATGCCATTTGACACTGCATTGTAATAACGTTGGAATGTATTACTAAATAATTTGCTGAGTATCTTAGAATATTTTGTCAGCTGTAGATAGGAGTCACAAAGACTTGCCAAATATTTTCCTGAGCTTGAGACTCAAGGTCAGACCCGCCCTGTAGATTCACAATACCTACTATTCTTGTTTCGCATTAATTTAAAAAGTAATATGAAAGGAAATATTTGTGAAGAAAGGCCCTTGAAAGCTTTTCCATTTTTCAGTCTGAACCAATTCATCTGATAAATGTTATTACCTTTTCCTGTAAGTCTTGCTCCTTCTATATCCTTAGACTACAATAACTATTATTTAAAAACCCCAACAGTACTTACAACAATAATAAATTACGTAAGCTCTGGATTCCCTTGCAAGAGGTTAGGAAAGTCATTAAGGACAAAGAATATCAATACTTTTCAATCCAATATAGTCCAAAAGTAGCCATATAAAATATAATCAAAAGGGAGGTTTAGTGTAGTTTTCCAAATCTACAACAAGAGCCATCAATGTATTATTTTTCATTATATTTCCTTGTTATTATTCAAACTGTATATGAGAGAGACACGCAAACACCGTTACAAGAAAATTGGCATAAAGTTCAGTAGCAAAAGTCACAGAGAGAAGAGGATGATGAAGTGTGTTGAAACCTGTAAGCTTTGAAATAGGAAGGAGTTTCTTTCAAGAAGCAACAAAGCAAATAATGTTGCTACAATTGAGAAACTCTGAGAGGTAGAACACGTATTTTAAATGAAATAACTGCAGAAGCTTACCACTTGATTCAACCTAAGATTTATCTCTCGTATTATAGTAAATTAATATGTTTATCCAAGTGTACTAAACAATACATTAATTCAGCTGCTTATTTTGGGCTTTCTCGCAGACTTTGGAAATACTACTCGAAGTGATGTAATCAGGCTAAGAAATGCAGCTGGCTGGTTTTGGCTGGAAGGGGCAATGAGTCTGATTATTCAGCTGTGTTTTTATGCGCTGAGATGTAATGCTGCTTTACTTTTGACATCTTGCTGTTTAATAAGTTATGATAAAGTAAATCCTAGTTTACGTTATGCCAGAACCTGCTGGTTTGAAAGAAAACAAGTAAAACTCGTAATGAAAGTTTATTGAGCTTGCTGAAAAGTATCTTTAAGACACCAACTAACTCGTGTCTTAATTTTTTTCATAGCAGGAAGCCAATTTGCCCCTGTTGATTGAGATAAAATTCCTTCTACATGTACAATGGAACTGCTAGTTACTCCCTGGTAGGTGATTACTTTTTTCTGCCTCGGAGCTGACTGGATCTTGCTAGTTTGTCATCTTTGTAAACAGAATAGTTTATAAAATGCTTTGAAGAAGAAAGATACTATCAGAAATTCAAAGTACGTCTTCAAAAGCCGGTGTCCCTTCACTTAGAGTTTACCTATGACTGAATATAGAGATTAATTTTCAGAGACAACCTTTTAATTTTTACTTCCAGCACTGTATGTGTTTAAGCCCTGAGTTTAAGAGTGACATGGTCTGTAAAATAATTCTGTATGTAACTGCAGGTGTACACTAGAGCTTGTTTTTAAAGTTGCCAGGTGATAAGCACCGCTTCAGTGACAGATACCAACAAGGTCTCCCCACAGTCAACTTTTACTTAACAGAGCATAACTGCATGCAAGTTCTGCATTATCTTGCACCTACCTCTCTCACGCTGTCTGAATCGCAGTCAGTATTCTTCAGTGTGTACAACCTCCTGCTGCTGTCCTATGCTTTCAATGAGACGTGGAAGAGATGGTAAGCTACAGCTTCTTGGGAAATTATTTCAAGGTCTCTTTTGAATAGCAGTATAAGCTTTAATAGTAAAAGGCTTTAATAACAGATTTGACTCTACACTGAATACAGGACAAAATGCCAGAATATGATTCTATAGTATGCTCCTTTTTAGGATTAAACACAACCTGTTCAATCCATTTACCAAAAATTATTTACCATAATTTCCCCCCACAATAAATTAATCCAATAATTAACAATTATTAAATTAATAATTATTGGATTAATAATGAATAATAAATTAATTCCTAGAATTAAAATCCGTTTTCTAGAGTCCAGTAACATTAGCATCAGTGAGAGTGTAATCATTTCAGTATAGTCATTTGTGGAAAAAATATATATTAAAAAGGGTAAATGATGGGGGAAATTAGCTCTTAACCTGCAGTCTTTCTGA